GAAGTGTTTGTAGAGGCCGCGCGGCGCGGGGCCGTCCCGGCTCTCCCCGCCGCCCGCGCTGCCGAAGAGCCCCGAAGAGCTCTTGGCCCCTTGGTCCTTCCTCTCCTTGACGTGCATCTTGGCGTGCTGCACGAAGATCTTGGAGGAGTTGGTGCCGAAGACGCACTTGGGGCACTGCAGCCGCGCCTCCCGGCCCTCGTCCGGGAACTCGTTCAGCTTCTGGATCTCCTCGATGATCTTCTCCCGCGACTCCTGGTGGAGCCTCCTGTGCTGCTCCAGCGCCGCGGGGTCCCCGAAGGCCCACCCGCACTCGCTGCAGCACAGCTGGCGCTGCCCCCCCAGGGCGTCCCCGTCTTGGTCCCTGCCCGGCCCGCGGTTGTGCTGGAGCATGTGATCCATCAGGTGCTCCTTCTTCTTGAAGTAGATGCTGCACTCGATGCAGGTGTAGACCGAGGGATCCTCCTCCTGGCCCAGCTCCTCCTTGCCCTGCTCCTCCAGCAGGACGCTGCACACGTAGGGCCTCATCTCCACGTCGTAGGAGCTGCAGGGAGCGGGGTCCAGGGACACCAGCGGCACCCGCTCCACCGAGTCCTCGGCGTTCACCGTCCACGACTGTTTGCCCACGGCCAGCTCGGCGCCGAGCTGGAGGCTCGGCTTCTGCAGCATCCACTCGGCCGTCGAGAGCGGGGCCACCTCGGCCACGTCCGAGTCCACCACCAGCCCCTTCCTGTGGGACGAGGAGCCCTCCAGGGCTTTGGATTTGCCCAGGACGGGGTTGAGCGTTTTCCTGAACACCGGCGGGGGCAGCGGAGGAGGCACTTCGCGCACGGCCTGGCCCCGGAAGGGCAGGTTGGCTGCTACATCTGTCGGCTTGGTTACGTCTTTGTAGGGAGGGCTCGGGCTCCTGCTGGGCCTGGGAATCCAGTCGACCCTCTGGACTCCCCTCCTGCCTTTCTCCAGGTGCTCCCTGCCGAGCCCTTCGAGTTGCTTTGGTTCGGTTCTGAGATATTTCTCCTCGGCGGTGCGAGGACCCGGCGTCGTCTCCGCCGCCCTCCTGCCCTCCGGCCCCTCCGAGTCGCTCTCCAGCTGCTCGGGATCCTCCCCCCGGGGCTCCCCGGCAAACGCCGCCTCCTTGGAGTCCTTGGGGCCGGAGAGTCTCTCTAAAGTGCTTTCCTGCCTCCCGTCGCCGTCCCAGGACAGGCCGCCGGACACCGTCATGTTCCGCAGCTCCAGAGCGCTCCGGGCGTCCGTCCTGTACAGGCCCTGCTGGAACTCCAAACGCTCCTCGTTGGCGGGGCTGGAAGGAAGTTTGGAGAGTTAACCGGGGGACGGGGGGGGTCGCACCGACGTTCCCGGCGCCCCGGGAGCAGAGGGAGCCTCGTGGTGTCCCGGTGTGACGCGGGGGTTTGTGGTGACTCCCGAAGNCTCGTGGTGTCCCGGCGTGACGCGGGGGTTTGTGGTGACTCCCGAAGAGCTGGGATGGAAACGGGGCCACCCCTTCCCACCCTGGAAGAGTTCCTGCCTCTTACTCCAGGCCTGCTCCGAGATGTTCTCCCGGCACTCCCTGCTGGGTGTGATGGGAGCACTGGGTTCCCAGCACCACGTCATCACCACTGTGGGCCAGAGGCGTCTTTTCCCTGCGCTCCACCCACTCCCTCCCAACTTCCCTCTCCCCTCCCAGCTCCTCGGGTGCCGGGACCCCTTTCACCCAGCTCTGGGTGACTCGTGTCACCATCAGGCCAAGGAGCTCTTCCAAGTGCGTGAAAACAAACATGGAGCACAACCAGAGGCCTCCTGGACCAAAGGGTGGTTTGTCTCCATGACTGAATTGGCTGTTCCTGGGCGATCCCTCTCCGCAGGAACGGGAAGTCTCCCTTTCCTGTGCAGAGAACCCAAGGGATCGAGGTGGTCGCTCCTCATCCACTTCCAAACCCTTCCCGAAGCTGGGAACACCCCCTGGAGCAGCAGGAGAAGGTGAGAATCCGTGGAGTGAGCCCCGCAGTGGGATGGGGGGATCCACCCCCACGGCACCGGAACGTGCTGGGGGTTGGAGGGGCTGAGCACATCCACGGGCAGGCCCAGCCTGGTGCTCCTGGAAGTCCTAAATTTGGGCAGGAGGCTTTTTCAGGGAAGAAGGAACCTCGGGAAGGTCCAACTGAGGCCCTGGATGTTCTCCAAGATGCCAAGAGGACCAACAGCTATGAGACGGGATCTCAGGAGCCTCCAGCCCTTCCGTTGGAACCATGGGAGGCTCGTGGGGAAGCAGAGCCTTGGATGGCCCCAAATCCCTATGGATCTCACACCGGTTCCCTACGGATCTCACGCCGGCTCCCTACGGATCTCACACCGGCTCCCTACGGATCTCAGGCCGGCTCCGTACGGATCTCACGCCGGCTCCCTATGGATCTCACGCTGGTTCCCTACGGATCTCACGCCGGCTCCCTCCCTCCTTCCCTTTGAACCCGTTTATTTCCAGCTTGTTCCCGGAAAAAGCCGAGTTTGGGGGCAAACCGACCCTCCCGCCCCACGGAGGGACCTGCCGGCCCCAAACCTGTCCCTGTTTTCCCTCGGGATGAGGGAGGGCGGCCGGGGGGCGGAGGGGCCGCTGCCCGTGGGGTGTTATCAGGGAAATGTGATTCCCACTCGTCCTGTAAACCTCGGGAATGTCATCCCGGGCCCGGCACCATCCCGGTGCCACGGGGAGGGAAAAGGATCCTGTCCCTGCACGGGACTCGGGCTGGAATCCCAAATCCTGCCTTTTCCAGGGTGCTGGGAGCCAGCGGGACACCCCTGGGCAGCTTTGGGACACCCCAAATGGAGCGTCCA